CCATTCCAAAAAGACAAAGTCTACCAGCCTCGTTTTACAATAAGAGGAAAAAAGAGGAAAAAAGTTAGAAGTGATCACTTCAGGCCACACATTTAATAATAGTGAAAATCATTTTGAAATTTGGTATCCCACTTTTGCTTTTATATATGACCTCTGCTTATTATGCAACAAATATTTTATTCACTTTAGTTATACAGCTGCAGATCTTTTAAGTGTCTGTTTTTATGGAAAAATATTTTAAACACTTCATGTTTCTAAGAATTGCTTTGGTGTATAGCTTTTACCAGAAGTTTTCATTAATAACTCTGTACCAGATTAATGCTTCACATAGCTCGATGTTGAATAACAGCCTTTTTATTTTTAATAATCAGTTATTCATTCATTTCTGTTAGGCATAGGGAAGGATTGTGAAAAGAGTTAGGTTATAAGGGTTGACTATTGCAATTGACGTTGCTTCTCTTTCTGACTTGTTCAGCCCATTAGAGTTTATTTCAGAGACTTCTGTGGAAAACAAACAACACACTAATACAGGGCCAAAAAAAAAAAAAAAAAGCAAAGAAGGCAAAGGCTCAGGGAGATGAAGACAGCTTCACTAATGAGTCCCCAACTGATTAAAAATAAATACATTTCTGTTCCTAGAAAAGTGTAAGTAGCATTTGTTGCCACAAACTGTTTAACTTTAGCAAAAATAAAGAGTTGCCCTCAAGTTTGTTATGGGAGGACGGCAACACTGCAGCTAATTATTTCCCAGGTGCCTCTAGTCTGAATTTAGAAATGAACTACGATTGGAAGGGGCCCATCTTTGTGCCCAGCTTGACAGATAATTCATGGTTATCTTTAAGAGGACGCGTATCACCATTGAACATTGACTTTACCCTCAGGTACTGACTAGATTCATGGGAATTTCACAGTATAACATGAGGTTAAGCACTTGGCCTCTAGAGTCAAGACCATCTAGGTTCAAAACTTAGTCCTGCCTATGTGACTTTGGGCAAACTACTTGAGTCAGTTAGCTTTGGCTGTGTAACGAACTATCCCCAAATTTAGCTACTCAGAATATTATTATTTATTTGCTCATGATTTGGTGGGTTCACAATTTAGCTGGGCTCAGCTGGGACAGCACATTTTTGTTTTTCATAGTATTGGCTGGGCTTGCTCGTTCATCTGGGTTTTTGGTGGGGCCCTGCTCCAAGTAATCTCTCTTCATCTAACAAACTAGCCTGGGTTTCTTTATATGTTGGCCGAAATTTCCCAGCAGCAAAAGAGGGTAAGTTCCAACAATTGAGCATCTTTCAAGCCTTGATTTATATCATATTTGCTATTGTTCCATTGACTAACGTGAGTCACATGACCAACCCCAGATTTACGGCTTTCTGACAGAGACTCTACCTCTGGTACAGTCATGCCTATGGGGAGTTGTGACCAAATATGGGAGCATAACAGCAACAATCACTACTTCTCTAAGTTTTCATTAGTAACATGAGGATATCATAGTACCTACTTTCAGGGTTCTTGTGAAGATTAAAAGAAATGATCCCTGTATAGTGCTAAGCCCAGGGTTCAATAAAAGTTAGGTGTAATTATATTATTGTCAATTAAGAAAAAAAGAGAAAAAGAGAAATTAGAGAGAAGGACTAGAAAGGAGGAAAAGAATTGGGGATAAATCATGCAGGCGGAGGTAGGAGCAGGCTCTATGAAGCGTCTATTGATGATACTATGAGGGACTAATACTTACTCGGTCCTGGTTACCTGTTATCATTGACCTTCGAGGTTCTTGTCAGTTCTTCAACAATTTAGAAACAGTTATTTCCATACCAGAAAAACAGATTTATTCTAATTTAAAATTTCAAGAGTTTTCAATTTTTAGTAACAGTGATTGGGTTTGGATGGTGGGATCATGCATAAATTTTCTTTTCCCTATTTGATACATTTTCTATAGTGAGGTTATATAGCTTTTATAATAAAAAGAAAACATTAAAGCTATGTTAGTTTAAGAACAAAAGTTCTTTTTAAAATTCTTCTGGAATTCTAAACAATTTTGCATTTGTTTATAAAGTTGACAATTTCCAAGATTTCCTTTGTTACCTTAGAGGTATCAGTCAGTTTTCTCACTGCATCCTGAAAACTCCCTTGACATGTGTAAGCTATCTGCCCATCTGCTTTTTTGAGAGATTAGAACTTCCTAATTCAAAATGCCTGAAGGTTACATTTGGAACAAGCATTTGTTTATGTGATGGTACAAGTTAAAACTCCGTTTAGCTTTCTGGTCTGCTGGAAGTTTGGTTCTATAAATTTAAAATTGTCTTTACAAGTATGGATTTGGAGTATTAGTATAAACTTAAAGAAGAATGTTAAATGAATAATCACACACATGGTAGGCTAAACTAATTAAACAGTGTAGAAGTTTAAATTTATCCTCCCGTCCCCTGCCAAATTTGTTAGAAAGTGCAAAAAAAATCACAGCTGTAATTGGGGAATTTAGACCAGATTTTTATTCGATGAATTTTCAAGAGCACCACGTTGTGCTATGTCTTCGTGCATCTGAAGGGCCAGATCAACCCCCATTTCTCAAAGCGTGGTCTGTGGTCTAGTTTGTGCGAAATCACCAGAGAGGCTTTTATAAGTCAAACTGTCTTTTGGGGGCCCTGTACCGGTTCCTGGATTCAGGCCTGGGGCTCTCAGGCACCAGAACACTGTCTGCTTTCCTGGTAGAGCTCTCTGCTGTTGTCCCTGCTCCTCCTCAGCTCTTGACCGGTATCTATCTGCCACCTTTTGTTCTGAGTTCCTACCTCAATGTGGGCTGATTATGGATCTAGACCAGTTCCCCAAAAACATTTTCTGTAAAAGATGAGAGACTATTATAGTCTTTGCAGGTCATGAAGTCTTTGTCACAACTCCTCAACTCTGCTGCTGTAGCTTGAAAGTAGCCCTAGACACTATGTAATGAGTGGAGGTGGCTGTGTTCCAATAAACTTCATTTAGAAAAACAGGTGGAGAGAGGTGGAGCGGTCAGATTTGGCCAGCCCCTGATCAAGGCAGGCTCTGGTCTGGAGCCTTTTAGTCTTTTCCATCTCCAAGCCCAGAGCAAACTTTTTTTTTTTAAATTGCATTTTGCTCAATTCCTCAGTGCACCTAGATTTATGCAAAATGAGGTCAGAGTACATCTTGGCAATCCCAGGGACTTTGCAGAGGAAACTGAGATGTTCGGATAGGTTGTTCTGATTGTCTAGCCAGGGGTGTGAGGTGAAGTAGCAAATTTGGACCATAGTAGTTGAAATGACTAAATATTTTCTAGGTGGATGGGACGGAAGGCCAGCAAGGTTAAGTGACTTTCATTAGGTCATCAACTGATTGGGTGGCTGGGTTAGCAGGTGACTGTGAAGATCCCTCTGTATTCTTCAGAGCAATGGTTCTCTGACTTGAAAACTGGCATTAGAATCACCCAGGGGCTCCTTAAAACAGACGCTGGGCCCTACTGCCAGAGTTTCTGGATGTGTATGTCTAGGCTGGGTCCAGGGGATCTGTATTTATAACTAGTTTGTGGGTGCTGCTGATGCTGCTGGCCTAGGGACCACACCTTGAGAACCACTGCCCTAGAGTAAACCACTCATATCTGGCTGCAGGTTAGCATTCTTTTGTTTTATAAAGCTTTCAAGCAGCTTCTCTTTCTCCATTCTGATGAATGGATTTAAAGTGTTTTCCAGATTTAAGACTACAGAATCTTTATTTTCCTTTTGGGTAGTAAGCTTTAGCACATCTCAGAGTGGCACTTCACACTGGCATTATTAATTTTTGACATGAAGTCAGTCTACATGTGGTAAATACACCAGTAATTGGTATGTTAAATAGCCAAACTATAATGAGGCTCTGGCACCTATTCTTCTTCCTCTTGAGAATGAATACATGGTCACTTGGCCATTTCCTGGAGCAAGTCCTTTACCAGCTCCCCATGGTATCCCCACACTTGGCTTTAACCCCTCCTGTTTTTCTGATGTGTCCAGTCACATTTTAATGGCTAAAATGGCTTTGAAGATTCTCCCATGGAACCAATTTTCACCCGCAGCCCAGGGCAGTTCCTGCCCTTCCGCAAAAAGTTGACTTCAGTGATAAGTTTTCATACGAGTCCAGAACTCAAATATATTTTAACTGTTTTCCTGATGGCAGCGCTTTAGCATCGGCAGCAGAAGTAGATTTGTCATGGAGCTTTTCTGATGGGACAGGCTCTCCAAACTAATTGAGGCTGATGGCAAATTTTGTCAGTGAGAGATGTTGCCCACAGCTAGTCAGTCCGCTGGAATTTTTGGTGCTAGTGGCAGGGGTTCATTGAGATAAGTGTTTATGAGAATCACAGCTAATACGATTCTAGATCCTCCCAGGAAAATGGTGAGCTTATAAACCACAGGACACTGATACTGAGGCAGCTGTTTTACACTAGCCAAAAATTCATGACTCAGATTCCTTAATAAATTCTTTGGGGCAGGAGGGACAAAAGCCAGCCAACCAAACTGTTCCACTGAAATGTCAAAAACTTGAAAAATCTTAAAAAGTCCTTAAATCCTGAACAACACCAACATCAGTTTAAGTGCTTCTGTGGATTGTAATCCAACAGAAATATCATACCTGTTGGCCTTGCCCTGGGCAAACTTTTCACTGAAGTCATTCGTTTTGTTTTTTGTTATGGTTACCTAACCTCAGTCAGAATGCAGCAGGCTAGCAAAAATGTGAGGCAGAGACTTTGCCAGTTCCTACCATTTCTCCGATTTGGAAATAGAAAGGATACCACTGACTTTTCTGATGTTGGTCTTTATTTTAAAGATATAAAAAAGACGTGACGAGACACAGAAGGGGACTCAAATGTCAGCTTGAGAGAAGGACAGTATGTCTCATGACACACACACATGCATGGGATTATTAACTTGGCTGGATGCCTGGAAATATTTGCAGCACCAGTCACCCACTCCCATTTTCTCAGAGGAAAGCCTTAGACAGTGAATTTCGGTAACAGCTCCTGTTCCCAACTGGAAACTCTTCAAGACTTCCAGTTCCAGAATTGGAATATTATATTGCTTTAAGCTTTATAGGGTACACTATAATCATGTGGCTCTTTTAGATGTTTTCAATTTTAACAAATTTGGCTCAGGAACCGTCCTTACTGAGAGCTCATTTACCACAGGCAGTTTCACCCTTAACTAGTAACTCAGACCCCTGCTAAGGACTCATGAGAAAGTCAATATTCTTTGCTTTTTTGTTTCCCTGGGCAAATCCTTATATAGCCCGGTGGGTTCGTTCGTTCATTCATTCATTCATTCATTTATATTTCTAATATGTATTATGTCTTTACAGGTACCTGGCATGGTGCTGGAAAGTGAGGAGTCACTGATAAGAAAGGTATAATTCTTGTCTTCTGAACTGGAATTAGATATACAGACAAATAATTGTAAAATGGGGTAATACAGGCACAATAGAGATTTATATTAAAACTATGAGAGCACAGGGGAGGGGAAATAATCATCTGAAGAGGTCATTTGATTAGTTTGAAAGATGAGTAGCTGTTTGCCAGGAAGAGAAAAAGTAGAAAGATATTTCAAACAGACGGCGTAGTATATGTGGCAGAGACAATTTGTGCTCACTAATTGTCCACGTACTCCCCTATATTTTTTACATTTCCTATAGTTGGATTGGATCCATGTGACTGACACTTAGTGAATAAGATTGTGAGCAGAAATGATGCCTTACGTAGTATCTGAGGCACTTAAGCATTGCTATGTCTAGTCCAATTTTCTCTCCTGCTGCCACTTGCTTGGTAGTGATGTGTTGAAATGACTGAGTCAGAAGATGAAGGGAACTTGGATCCCTAAGTCACTGAATGGAGGAGAACCTCCTCTGCATCATACTTTATATGGGAGAGAAATAGGTTTTTATTATGTTAAGTTGATCTGTTGTGGTAGTTGACTTACTTACTCTGACTAATACAGTAAGTGAAAAGATTTGGAAGATAAGATACTGGCATCTTTGGAGAATATTTTACAATTCTAGCTGGGGGCTAGAATATGGAGGAAAGACTTTACAAGTAGGTTGGAACCAGATAGGGATGGAGCGATTGGATTTCATTTTTGAAGCAAGTGGCAGTCATTGGAAGTTGTGTGTGTGTGTGTGTGTGTGTGTGTTTTGTATTGATATTCTACAATTTATTAAATTATTCCCTAATGTTTGACATTTAAGATATTTTTAATTTTTATCTTTTTTTAATGAGAAGTTTCTATGCAGGTAGTCATGTAACCACAATTGAATTTTGGAGCTAAACTAGGTGGAGTGCATGGGATGAATTGGAATGAGGAGAAGCTGAGGCTAGAAATCAGTTAGAAGTTATGGCAATCTGGGCAAGAGATGGTGAGAGTCCCGGCTATGGACATATTCCTTCCATTTTTGTGCCAAATTCCTTAGGTAAAGAAGGCACATTGCCCTGCTCATTTAGACTATGGGTTGGTGATTTCCTCACTTGCTTTTGTAAATTAAGTTCAATTGAAATGGAATCATAGTTATTCATGTATGTACTGCCTATATCTGTTTTCATCCTATAACAATAAAGTTAAGTAGTTGTGACATGGACTGTATGGCTTGCAAATCCTAAATTCTTACTATCTGACCCTTTAGGAAAAAGTTCACTGATTCCTGGCTTAGACTGTACTGATAGGCACCAGTTGAACTACCATGCTTGTTCAGAGATACCTGTAACCTGGCGACTTGTGTTATGGACTAGTTTGTACCAACTAAGTTCAAATCTGCTCTTACACACCTGTTTAGCTCCCCTGGTATTGGGAAGTAAAATTCTCTCCTCTCTGCCCCTCTCACTGGTAGGTTTTCACAGAAATAGGAGATATATGTGAATGGTGTTATATCTACTATTTCTCTAGTAAAAGGGGTTAATAGCTTACAGGTGGCTACATATGTATGGCTTTTCTTTTTTCAATACTCTGTGCTCAACAGGAGGTGATTCGAGCTATAATCTTTTTAGTGACTGCCTAGCCAATTATCTACTCTGTTGTCCCAAATTTGCTATGTGTAGAGTCTAAAATTCAGACTTGATAGAATGGTGTAAAAGCCTGTTTTGGTCTCTGGTCATGTTTACATACATGCACACATAAAGATGACATACACCACATATAGTTATGCACCTAGCTTTAAAAATTTAATTATGTATCTTGGAGCTTGCTCCTTTTCAGTAAATATTGAGCTGCCTCATTTTTTGTACTGGTAGTAAAATTGATATTTTAATCTTTACTTGACTCTTTTGATTCAGAATGCAAAATGGAGAGGATGTGCAATTTAGTAGCCTTCTCAAACTCCTATTTATGATATAAAGTCTGGAAACCTCAAAACTGGAAGCTGGACATCTATTTGGAGACCTAAACATTGTGAAAGGTGATTAAGGCTGCTGGTGATGTAGTTTGGAAGAAGGCTTTGGAAAGGGTGGATCTCTAGGCTTTTCTTTATAATCTATGACATCTTTATAGCTGGTAGTCACAGGTGTGTGGCTATTTTTTTTTTTTTGAGGCACAGGCTATGGGAGCTGGGTTGCTGTTTTTGACCTTAGCAGGTGCACTAGGAACACAATAAAAGTATTTTTGGTTGTACAGGTTTTTTGGCATTGATAAGTGGAAACATCTTTGTTCTCTTTATATATTTGTCTGCAGGCCAGGACTTAGGAATACTGGAATATATAGTTCCAGCCTTTAAATTATAAAGAGATAGCTAGCATTTAATGATTGGCTGCCTCAAATCCTGTTTTAACTTGTTTCGACCTACAACCAGTTTTAGGGCCAAAGAGGAGACAGTGACAAGACCACTCTCTTGTTCTCATATAGTTAGTTCATAGGCTATTGAAGCCAATGCCATTCCTTACCTAACATGGTCTCAGATTGACTTTCCCTTGTTAATTATGTAAACTCCCATCATTGTAGATTGTAGATTGTAGGTTATAGATTTCAAAGACCCAGCCTGGAATTCAGACACAGGTAGAATTTTGTTAGTGAATTTATCAAGAGGAATGGGTCCTTACAATATAGGGATATCATTCATTTAATTTAGGTGAAAGAAAAACACAATGGAATTATTGCAATTGCATGTTTTTAATAAAAAGAAATTAAAAAGTCTATATAGGTCTCTAGGAATCAGGTTTGCTGAGACTCTCCACGAGGAACTGGGTAGGTTTAAAAGCTGAATTTCATCTAGAAGTAGGAACAGAAGCAGTAGGAGACTAAAAGAAAAATTGTCATTTTGATTAGACTCATGGAAGAAAAGAAGAATTTCCTGGGAAAAAAAAAAAGATTGAAATCAAATAACTTAAGCTAGACAATAGGAAAAGAAAAATGAGTTCCACCAGGTTATAAAGAAAAACTGGGACCTTGGATGCTGGGTAAGAGATCTGAAAGGAGGACAGAGGTTGAGATTTCGGAGGCCAGGTTTTCTAGAAGACTCTTGGTCAAATTCTTCTCTAGAAGCCTGATACCCTCTTTACTCCACCATATATTTGATGATTCAGTAATCCCCTATCTGTGGAGAAAGAAAGAAGTAATACACTGTGATAGCTATTGTTCTCAAGTTAAGTCACATCTAAATTCATGTGCAATTTCCCCAGAAGATAATTTCATATCATTACAGCATATGGATGATAGATATTGCTTGCCAAGTATTAAAAAATTGTGGTAGCTTGATGTCTGAGGTCAGTTTATAAAATCTACCTCAAATGATTGGATGGATGTCATCAGTCATTTTCAGCCCAGGAAATTTTGTAAAAAGGACCACAGCCCATCCACATGCTGCCCTGCTTTACAGCAGTGGTTTGGTTGTAGACAGCCTTCCATGACCCTGCTCTCCTCAAAGCACAAGGAGTCCAAGCTGTGTGGGGGTTTGAAAGCAATCATTTCACAAGCAAAAAACTAAAACCCATGCATAATATCTGAATGTTGAGTAGTCTGTGTAGATCAAGGACAAATTGGTGGTAACAACCCGTATATTGACTGGTGTCTAGGTCAGGCAATGGTTTAGGCCTGCAGAGACTGGTTTGTGGTCTCTAAGTCTCTTGGCGTTCTGAAATGTCTGCCTCCTGGACTATTTTAAAGAAAACATGATTCGGGCTTGTTCCAAAGATGTTGGCAAGCACCTGAAATACCAGGCTAAACTGATGGGAAAGAGAAAAGGAAATATAGCCAGTTATATTGCTTGCTGATGGTGGACCAAGAGAACTACTAGATCAGGGAGTTGAGAAGCCCCTATTGGGAGGGGCTTCTTGATGCTGTGGATAAGGAGTAAAATTAAAAGCTTGAAGACTGAGATGGCAATGCTAGAGACTTTTTGCATAGATTTGAGATAGGAAGACTAGGGAGATGAGCACTGAAAACTTTAATCAAAATTAGATGAGTTTCAGGGTAGCACATAAACTGTAGGTGGGAATTCTACCCCAGCCCCAGAGAAGTTTCCTGGGATATTTATGTAAGGCTAAGAGAGAAGGTTGGGAGGGGGAGGCACATTATTTAGGAATAAACGGTGAAATAATAGATTGTGTGTCGTCCTGGGTTAATTGTTATCTGATAAGGAGATATTTCCTGATGCAGGATTATCCAGTTTAGGGAATAAAGGTTAGACAATATTAGTGTGAGCAATGGATGCTTTTTTTCAGACTGGCCAAGAAATCCTTGACTTTATTTTTTTCATTATGTGGAAGGAACTTCAAGAGAATATGCAAGAATAGGTAAAAAAAGATAAATATCTGGGCTAGAAAGAAAAGAAGAAGCAGAATGAAAGAAGGATCTGGGATCTAGCCCTACATGTGGAAGAACAGTTATGAATTCAGCTTAAGAATTAGGTAAAGATCAGAAAGACTCAGCTTGACTGACTCCTGCAGAGTAGGACAGCAGAGGGAAATGGAACACTATGGGCCTATGCTGTTATGGATGGTAGACAAAAGTATGCTTCCATGGTGCTGAAGTAGTTAATGTTACTCTCCTCTTTGTGGTTCTCAAGGCGTTGATTGGCTTTGGAGCTCAGAGGAGTAGAAAGCCCATTTGGCCCGGAGTCAAATAGGATTTACCAATCCAATTTCACCAGTTGCAAAACTAACATTTGGATCCATTTGAGGCCTGAGTCTGTTTCTCAGTTTGCTCAGAACTCAGTGTGGAAAGTGATCAATTAGCCTAAAAAATACCCAGACTTCCTCTGTGAGAGGTTCTGTCCTATGTTCTCTACGTGCATCCTTTTATTTAAACTCCCCTAAAGCCCTGTGCAATGGATTGAAGGCTTGTGTCTCCACAAAGTTCATGTTGAAATCCTTACCCCCTAGTGTGATGGTATTAGCAGGTGGGGGCCTTTGGGAAGTTATTAGGTCATGAGGGTAGAACCCTTATGGTTGGGATTAGTGCTCTTACAAAAGAGACCCCAGGGAGTGAGGTATGAGAAATGCAATGAGAAGTTGACAGTCTGTAACCCAGAAGAGGAGTCGCACTAGAACTTGAGCATGCAGGCACTTTGATCTTGGACTTCCAGACTTCAGAACTGCAGGAAATAAATTTCTGTTGTTTATAAACCATCCAGGTACTTGGTTATAGCAGCCTGAACTGGTGAAGATACCCTATGAGGTTAGTATCACCCCCATTCTACAGATTAAGAACGTGAGACTCAGAAAGCTTCAGTAATTTGTCTACGGTTCAAGTGTTCAAATTGGAATTAGAATGTAGATTACATAACTTTACAGTTTGTAATCTTAACGTCTCCATTAAATCACTTCGCTAAAGTGTTGTTAAGCTCAGGGATCTATTATGAGATGAGACCTTCTTTATAGATGTCCTACTTTCTATTGGTTAATTTTATTCTTGTAGTGGTTTTTGGGAGGAGCCATAGGTAGAGCTGCTCACATGTGCTCCTTCTGCCCTAACCCTCCATCCTAATATGGGCTTTCTTGAAAAAAATCATCAGGAGCTACTTGGCCTGGTTGTTCCTTTCAAATTCACAGGCTCGTTAGAGTGGAAAACAAAAAACTAAAAAAAAAAATCACATTTCCATTGCTATATCCTTTTATTAGGCTGTGTTTGGCCACTGACCTTGAGACTTATGAAGTTCAGAATGTAGCAGATGAAATGACGTAACTAAGACTTCCTTATTTCCTGGCTTTGGGAGAATGATAATTGAGACAGAGCAGTTCAGGAGAGAAACTGGCTGCTACATAAGGCAGCTTGTGCTAAGAGGTATCATATGCATTAGTATTATTCCCATTTGATGCACAGAGTGGGAAGTAACTTGCCCAAAGTCACACAGCTTTGTACATGGTAGAAATGAATAAGAACCTTATTTATCTTTGAGAAATTCATGAAGTGTAGACTAACATGTAAAATAATTATAATGAAAAAGTATATTTTTGGAAATATAGATTGGAAAAACTTTTTTAAAAAAAGGTCTTTTATGTTTAATATTCATAGAGTTTGTCAACACACCTGGGCCTCTTTCTTAGACTGGAGGATAAACATCTCCTGTTTCTCCTAGGGATTTTTGGTGTTACAGGTGATGTGGTGGCTTGACTTGCCCTTTAAGTTTTAAGCTCACCACAGGATGTCTTGGCCTGGGGAATGTACCCAGCCTAGCACACCTTGGTAGTCTGGAGTAGGTAGACTGGCTGCATGCGGGGAAGGAATGGAACGGCCATTTACTGTCTCTTCTGTGCCAGGAACATCCATTACTGTGTCTGTCTGCACAGGCCAGAGATGCTGCAGCTGCTTAAATGGCTGCAGATGACTCCCATTGTCACCTCTTCTAATCTGCATAAAAGCGTGTTTCCAGCTCTACTAGTTTGCCTGGCCTGATGGGATACAAGTGGCATTTTCCCAGCTGAATTTCTTTTAAATAGTTTCCTATAGCTACCATTCTTTTTCTTGTTACTACAATGCCTTCAGAAGTCTTGATTTCTTTAGGGCAGCATATATTGAGTTTGGCCTCAGTGGTAGGCATACCCCGATAAGCTTCCGTGTCCATGGGATGGGCAAACTAGCTTCCTGTTGTATACATGTACCGGCACATTGATTGCTACGTACTCATTTGCCTACGGTGGGTCTCTGAAATTGCAAATATGGAAGTGGGATGGCAGTGTGTGGGTAGATGAGAGGTGGGTTGGTGTATGCTGTATGTGACAAGTGCCCCCATTGTGTCTGCTTTTGAATACGTAGTCCTGCAGCTAATAACACCTCTCCATTAAATTGCAGTTTTGCTCTCAATAGCTTTGCTCTATTGTCCAGGCCACTTGACCTGTCAAGCAGAGAGGAGAAGGTGTGAGGGAAAGGAAGTTTCCCTCCGTGCTCACAGGGAGAGAAGCCTGTTCACATTCTGAGGGGCCCTCAACTTTTCAGGGCTGGCTCAGCCTATCTCTAGACGTAATAGGATGCAAATAAAACAAAGCCTTGGAGTTCTGGCAGTGCAGTGTTCTCTGCCCGCCCTGTGAGTCACTGTGCCCATAGTAATGGCTTGCCTTGTAAGCCGCTATCAAGTGTGTCCGTGTTTTTCTTTTTGAGAGATGACAGTTCCCAAGTGAAAGGACACTTCAGCTCTGATAAAACTTTCCTTCTATTGTCTGAGTTTTGTGTTTGTTTTCTGGCAAAACCCACTGCTGCCTGAGCATTGTGTGCCGTGGAACATTTTCCATTTTTATACAGCGAGGCCAGCCAGGGTCTTTAGGGGGTTCTTCCTAGTATTGCCTGAAGCGAATACCACAGCTCAATAGCAATTTAATATTGTAATCAGGGAGCAAACTGTGCAGTTTTGGCACATTGTGATAATTATTAACTACATCTATTAGTGTTACGGTTCTAGTAACTAATATTTACAAAAGGCTCCCTGTAGGGAAGCCCTTGCCCAGACACAAACGTCCGAGTTATTCCTAAGTGATTGTCGGAGGTCCTCTGAGCCAATGTTTATGTTCACTGCTTAAAGATAAAGCATCAATCCTGAGAAATCAGACTTCAAAAGGGCTGCTTCATGAATAACAAATTCTCAGGGTATAAACCTATGCTGAGGTTTGAAACATTTTGTGAGTTTGGGGGAAAGTTTTCCTGGGGAAAAAAATCCAAGAGATAAATTGAGAGCTAGAGTAAGAAAGAGAAAGAGAGAGAATCAGAAGGTAAAATAAAAAAGAAACAGTATTTAATTGGCATCACTCAAGAAAAGTTTGAAACATGTTCTTCTGTACGTGGCAATAGAGTAGCCTCGGAGTGTCAGTGTTTTGATTCTCTGGGTTGCTAACTGGGTGCTGTGAGTATCGGTGGGTGGCTTTTAAGGGTGGGATGCAGTTGCATGTTACTACCTCCACCCTTTAGCACAGAGATTCAACGAAATCAGCTGTCCAGGGTCAGATGGAGCTGATAAAGGCAGAAGCATTTTCTAAGCCCCACAGTACTGCTGTTGTTCAAATGAGGTTCCTGGACAACATCAAGGCCTCATTACTGTCAGTTACAAAATAACATCATATGTATTTTCCCTGAATAGCCTTCAGTAGATGTGTTTAGTGAAGAGAGTTTATTGCTAAGTAGTACTCTGGGTGAAAGCTAAAGAATTTTATGAACTAAAGAGAATCATTCATTCACAGTTTTGTTCACTTCTTCATTATTTATTGTTTTAGGTACTGAGGGCAAAGCAATGAAAAGACAGACAATTCCTTGACCTCATGAAGCTTCCACTGCCCTGGGAGAAGACTCAAAATTAGTAAATGAATGAATGAATAAATATAAAATAATTACAGAGCGATAACTACTATAAAAGAATAAAGCAGCATTGTAAAGGGACTACGAGCTGGTCATGGAAGTCCTCTCTGAGTAGATGACATTTGATCAGAAACCTGAAACGAGGATAAGAATAACCATGCCCTTCATTGGAAACTGATTCTTGAAAATCATCAGTTCATTATCCCGTTATCCCACGGTGTTGGGTTTTTAATCTGGTGTCTGTGGAACTCTTGGGCAATATTTCTCAAATGTGTTTTAAGGACCACCTGTATCAGAATAACCTTAGTTTTTTTGTATAAAATGTAAATTCCTGGACTTCATTTCAGACCTACTTAGAATTTCTGGGGTGGGGCCTTGGAATATGCATTTTAAAGCACCACAATGGGATTGATGAACCCCCTCTAACCATATGCAAAATATTATGCATGCATGCCTATGTATCAGACCACACAGGGGTCTCTGTTCTTACCCCTGCCCCCCCACCACAAAAAGAGCAGAAGAAGACCTTAGAGCATTTCCTATGCCTCGTTCCATTCTCAGAGAGCAAGAATTTGGATATAGGTCAAGAACAACATAGATTCTCCAAGAACACATAGTTATTTGTTATAGTAGAGGCGCCGATTTTACGGGATGAGAAAAGTTATCCAAAATTCTCTTTTCAGTATCACATAGAGTTGGATCAAGAGGAGCCAGAAAGATCAATGTGAAAGTTGTATGGAGGTCAGAAGTAATGGGTTAAAGGCTAATCTTAAGTCTGGACCTTAGGAGAAGAAAAATGTTCTCTTCCTTTCTGAGTGGCTGGATGGTAAGTTAGGTATTGGGATGCTTCTGCTGAGGAAGTACCTTCTCTTTTTCTGGTAAGACCAAGCAAGACCAAGTGGGGTCCAGAGGTGGAAAAGCATGGGATGAATAGCTGGGACTGGCTTCAGTCTTGACTACAGTTGGAATATACATGGAAGACAGGTCATCATTCCCCATCTCTAATCCCTTGGCAATCACTGGTAATCAATCATAGAAGTTTTCTGCCTTGTAATCAATCTAAATAGATGTTCCAGGCATTCATTAACAATAAATTGTTATTAACATGAAACTTGTTGTCACTTTAGGATCTTCAGGAGAAATGCAATAGGGGTCTTTGAGAGTAGGTCATAAGCCTGTTTCAGTCTTCATTCATTAATTCAATAAGTATTTATTGAGATTTACTATGTGCCAGGTATTGTACTAGGTGCTGGAAATACGGTAGCGAATAAAATAAACAAAATCCGTGGTCTCTTGCAGTTTTTGTTCTCATAGGATGAGAGAGACAATAAACAAAAAAAGAAGTAAATATATATATTCTTTGACTTATAATGGGGTTACATCCTGGTAAACCCATTGTAAATTGAAAATATCTTAGCTGAAAATGCATTTAATACACTTAACCTACCAAACATCATCTAACATAACGCTTATTTTTATAATAAAGTATTGAATATCTTGTGTAGTTTATTAAATACTGTACTTAAAGTGAAAAACAATGTTTGTGTGGGTACTCGCCATTCATGTACACAGCTGAAAGCACATTGGGCCCAAAGAATGTTTGAAGCATTGAACTAAAATTAATTGCATCATGTGAGAACACCGTACCACATGAGAGTATCAGTAGCCTGGGAAAATATCAAAGTTCAAAATTTGAAGTACAATATCTACTGAATGTGTATTGCTTTTGTACCTCCATGAAGTCAAAAGATGATAAGTTGAACCATCATAAATCAGAGACTATATATACATTTAGGCAGTAATAAGTACTATTGAGAAAAATAAAGCAGAGCAGATGGGATGAAGGGTACTAGGTTATTTTTTTAGAGACAGCATCAAAGAGGTAGACAGCTGAATGAAGGGCAGCTTAATGAGGATGCAGAGTTTCAAGATGATCATCACTTCATCTTTAGGAATACGTAAATCATGGGAGTGGTGAGATAAGCTTCTAAATTCAAGATGCTGTGATTTACTGAATCTGGACTAGCCAAGAGTCATCCTTAATTATACAATAATGGTGAGTATTTGAGTGCTTGCTATGTGCCTGCCATTGTTCTGTGTTTAACATGTGTTAAGCACTTAGACATATTTAATTATCACAACAATACTTTGAGATAGATTATTATTTGGCTGCACTTTAGAGGTAAGAAGAGTGAGGCACAGAGAGGTTAAGCAACTTGCTCAAAATTACATACTAGTAAATGGCAGAATTGGGTTTCAAACCCAGGTAGTCTGACTCCAGAACTCTGTTCTCTTGACTCCCAGCTTTACTGTGTAATATGATAATACCTTGGAGTTTTAATCTTTATGTTTTTATTTTTGTATTTCATGATCTATGACATCCTCTGGTTTATAGCCACATTTTCTTGAGGAGATTTAGGATGGCAACTTCAAAAGACAGCCTCAAAGCTCAGTCTCTTTGAATTTCAAAACATGGCAGAAAGAAACAAATGTAGATACTTGTGTTCTGGAGTTTGGAAAATTCAGAGGAAGGTCTGGAATTCCAAGAGCTACTAAATTTCTGCAATCATGGAAAGTGGATTCTCAATAAATTAAAAAAGATCTCATTTCATTGTTTCTTTTTGTGTTTGCTTTTTTATTGGGTGCCATTAGATTGTCGGTGGGGCCGTGAGCTACAGGCATTGCTTGTCCTATTCTCATTGGAGTAGCTCTACTGTTAAGCACAGGTCCTATTATCTCGTAGGCATTAAATAATATTTGTTGAATCAATGAAAGCTGATCCCAATATTGCAGCAGAAAATATTATAACATACTTCTAAAAATTTAAAATTTTCTTCACTAGATGTTGTTTTACTAGATTGTTATAAACCTTGTTTCCTTTTGGAAAATTATTAACTGCACGAAAATGAGTAGCATTTATGAATACCAGCAGTAGTCAGTTTGAAATTGTAATAGTACAAAATATTTTATTTATATTATCAACAAAACTATAAAATATCTAAGAATTGATATGAATAATATGCATAATCCCTTTTGGAAGAATCTTACAAACCATCAAAGCACACGAATAAAGACTGAATAGAATGAAAGACAAATTTAGATAATAAGATGCAGAAGGCTGTCAAAAATAAAACCATCTCAACAATACCAAATATTGATAAAAGAATAGGAACTTGCATATACAACTTGTGAGAAAGTAAAGCAGTATAACCACTTTGGAGGGCAATTGGCAATATTGTAATAGTGATAAATTAGAAATAAATTAAATGTCCATTAATGAATAGAGAAATGGATAAATAAGCTCTGGCTGTATTTATACAATGGATTAAAACCACATAGCAATTAAAAATGAATGAACTATGTCTATATGTATCAATTAATTATCTGTCAAAATATAATGTTCAGTGAAAAAAATCAAGTTATGTGGAGATACATACAATACAATGACATTTATGTAAGCTAAAACATACAACACATTCTTTATGATCAGATATAGTGGAAAAAGATTACGTAAAAAATGGCAGACTGGTTTTCTCTGAGGTGGACGTAAAGGAAATGAGACCGGGGGAGGAACAGAGGGACTTAGACTATCAGGTTTGTTTCTTGTATGTATCCAGAAATGTGAACTTTTAAGAATATTAGGCGATAGATAGATGTGTAGTTGTTATATATTTCTTTTTATTAAATAACTTCACACAACATTTTCAAATTAAAACACGCACACACACACAGATATCTAACCCACTGTAATTCTTTATAATTTAAAAATAATAAATTTTGTCAGTTTTCTTTTTGGGTAGCACATTATGGCATTTTGGATTAAGGTCCTTTGGCAAGGTCTCCTCAAAATGAAATAACAATTTACATAAATATATAAAATAGCAGGACTGATCGGCAAAGTTAAAATAAAAATTATGTACTCAAGAAAGGTAATAGAAAATATGAAAATATATTTTACAAGTAATTCATTAGTCCAAAAATGACATTCAGAGAAAATTTTACTTTGTTATTGACAGAGAACTATCTCCTGTACGATCTCAAAAGGCAAAACTCAGGTCAATGTGAAAAGACTGTAGGAAGAGAGATTTTTCATCAATATATAAAAAAAATCTTCTCAATAGCTATTGTTTTAATAGCACCAGAATGTGTCTTTTATTTATGCCACAGTCCAACGCAGATTGGGTAACTCTTCCAGGAAGGACTCCTGAGTGGTTATTCAGATGTTCAATATCCTTTCCTCTTATTTTGCTACCTCATCAACATGCTATGCCCATGATTGTCAGCAAAGGGGAAGAGAAAGCACAAGGGTCATGCAGAGAGTTTTGTATACAGGCCAAAAACTTACAGCCACTATAGTTGCTATCATCCGATCGGCCCAATCCTAATCCCATGACTGCAGGTTAAATGTCAGGGAGGATGGGAAATGCAATCTTCTAGTATGGCCAAGAAGAGAAAAAGGAAACGAGATTTGAACACATGGAATGCCAAAATGATGCTAAAGCAGAAGAGGGTGAAAAGGTAGAGATTTTTATTTTATTTATTTTATTTTTACAAGATCCTCTTTATTCTCCCTCAGGGAGAAGATAATATCAACTATAAATTGCTTCCTAGAATAAGTTCCAGTTGTAATAGGAGTACAGAAAGCCAAAGGGATGACATAGTTAGAAAACTTAGAAAAACCTAATATGTTCAAGTCAGCAGGACCTGATGGCTTGCCCTGTAGGATATTGAATGAATTTTCAACTTTCATCTTAGGATTATTAGCCAGTACTTTCCCCAAATCACAGAGGATTGGAAAAGCCCCCAAGGATAAAAACGGGTAAATGAGGTGCCCATTTCCAAGAGAAAAGCAGGATGACCTGAAAATTTCAGACCTGTATGCTCAACATCAATATCTTGGAAGATCTTGGAATAAATCATCAAATAATCAATTGCATAACACCTGAAAGAACATAAAATACTAAGTATCTATCAGTAAAGTTTTGTAAAGATCAAATAGTGCCAGGCCAATTTAATTCCCTCCCATAATAATGAGAGGCTACATGCACCAGGGGAATTAATA